AGTTAAAATAGAAAAGAGAAAAAGGAACCAGGGTATGATATCGGGTTGCTAATGAAATAAGGGGGGTAACCCCTAGTAACTAATACAAAGCTAGAAAAGAGAACAGAACAGATGTAGAGACACCTAAGGGTTAAGTAAGTCAATCAGTTCCAAAGGTTCCCTACACATGTAAAGCAACCCATTAGAAAAAATATATGTTAATACATAACTTTTAATAGAATGCCATTTAAAATCAATAACTAGGTATTGGAAACAAACAGATCCCTAATAGTAGAAAATAAATCAAAATAGGAGAGAAGGAGAACTCGAGGCTGACTAGTAGCACAGAGAGAGAGAGGATTCCTAGTGGATAAAGCTAAATCCTAATGTAGCAAAAGTTAAGTCAAATATTGAGAAAAAAACTAACTCTCTGTGAACAATCTAATCATATTTCTCATTACCCTCAATAGTCTGAAGCCTACAATGGCTATTTACATATAACAAAGTTGCCTCTGTATAGAGGATCGCCAAATCAAAGTGTTAGTCTAGTAGCTAAAAAAATGGAGAGGGTAGTCTAAACGGAGCGTAATGTTTCAATTGCTGCAGCATAGTCCCTAGTCTGGCTCCAACCACCCGCTCACTACACTAATCCCGACGCGCGTTTCGCCACACTGGCTCTTCCAAGGGAACCGAGCTGAACGCCGGCGGTCGTTTAAAAAGGCCGCTCTCTACGGTGATTGGTCTATGTTGCACCAATCACAAACGAGGGGGCGGAGAAAACTGTCGGTGCCGGTTTTCCACTGATCGGTGGTAAAGCCGGCACGGATTCAAAGTATGGTAATGAGATGTCTAAGCAATAATGAATTCACATAGAGTAAGAAATAATAAATAAAAAATATAAGAGTGAAGTAAAGTAGAGTATGTGGAGGGGTACATCCGGACTTAATAGACACTATAGATCAAAGTGTACACAAAGATGTTAAGAAGTAACAAGTGTAGAGACATTGAATCCTTAGCAAAAAACATATAGATAAATAGTATGAATGGTAAAAGTAATATGCATTAGAATTAAATCTAGTTTGCAAATATTGCTAATGAGAGTAGCTATGGATACAGGGAACAAGCTAAAGGGGTCAGAGCCTTCAAGGTAAGAGAAAATAATAAGAAAAAATGTAGACACTAAATAGTGAAAATTGATAAATGAAAAATGATACTCAATCATAACTAAAAGCAGGGACAACAGGAAAAATGTATGATGAAAAATAATAATAAATAGTGGTAGTTGTTAATGGGATCTATTTATGAATGAATGGAGTGAAATTGAACTCTGTTCCCTCCACATACTCTACTTTACTTCACTCTTATATTTTTTATTTATTATTTCTTACTCTATGTGAATTCATTATTGCTTAGACATCTCATTACCATACTTTGAATCCGTGCCGGCTTTACCACCGATCAGTGGAAAACCGTCACCGACAGTTTTCTCCGCCCCCTCGTTTGTGATTGGTGCAACATAGACCAATCACCGTAGAGAGCGGCCTTTTTAAACGACTGCCGGCGTTCAGCTCGGTTCCCTTGGAAGAGCCAGTGTGGCGAAACGCGCGTCGGGATTAGTGTAGTGAGCGGGTGGTTGGAGCCAGACTAGGGACTATGCTGCAGCAATTGAAACATTACGCTCCGTTTAGACTACCCTCTCCATTTTTTTAGCTACTAGACTAACACTTTGATTTGGCGATCCTCTATACAGAGGCAACTTTGTTATATGTAAATAGCCATTGTAGGCTTCAGACTATTGAGGGTAATGAGAAATATGATTAGATTGTTCACAGAGAGTTAGTTTTTTTCTCAATATTTGACTTAACTTTTGCTACATTAGGATTTAGCTTTATCCACTAGGAATCCTCTCTCTCTCTGTGCTACTAGTCAGCCTCGAGTTCTCCTTCTCTCCTATTTTGATTTATTTTCTACTATTAGGGATCTGTTTGTTTCCAATACCTAGTTATTGATTTTAAATGGCATTCTATTAAAAGTTATGTATTAATATATATATTTTTCTAATGGGTTGCTTTACATGTGTAGGGAACCTTTGGAACTGATTGACTTACTTAACCCTTAGGTGTCTCTACATCTGTTCTGTTCTCTTTTCTAAATTTTTAACAGTGTTCAAAAAGCAAAGAAAAGGGACATTATGTTCTGAAATGAGCAGCATCACAAAATACACTTGTGTAATCATATCTATTAAATAGTACCTATAGTTAAAGGGACATTGCAGGCACCCAGACAACTTCAGCTCATTGAAGTGGTTATTATTACGAAGTGGTCTAAGTGCTGTGTCCCCTTTGCACTTAGTACTGCAATGCAAAACATTGCAGTTGCAGAGAACTGCAATGTGTACATTGCAGCTCTAAATCTGCCCACGGTGGCTGTCTGCCAGACAGCCATTAGAGGGCTTCCTGTATCGAAACGGACCTTTGGTCCATTATCTGACGCTCGATATCCCCGAGTATCTCACGTGTCAGAATTTCCCCCCCATAGGAAAGCATTGATTAATGCTTTCCTATGGGGAAATTCCAATGTAAGCATGGCCAGCCGGCGAGGAAAGCGTGCGTTGTTTTTGTACAACATGTAGAATATATTAAGAAAGTTTGTTCTAACTGAACCTATTCTTCTATGCAAGGCATTTTTCTGTACATACATAGTAGTTGTGGTGTCAGCTGTTTTCAACTATACCCAGCTGTGTTATGAAGCAGCATGAAGATATTTATTTAACAATAAGAATATATTTTCACAATAATCAACATTTGTATGCAATTTTCTGAATAAAACACAAAATGTGTTTATAAAATGATGTTTAAATTACTTTAATATAGGCAGCTTCAACATGGATGCTGTCCAGAAAGTAGGAGGCTCTGGGAGCGAGGGTCTGCTGGAGATTGGCCGGGATGTGTCAGCTGACCAGAGTTCGCCGCGAACAGTTTGTGGCGAACCGTGGCGAACCGCTCGCGAGAAGTTCGCGGACGGTTCGTGACATCTCTAATAGCCAACTGTTGAGGAGGAGCAGGAGAAGGCAGGTCTTCCCACACACTGTCTGTGACAAGATGTTAGTACACGGTGGAACTCTACTGTGGAGATACTGGAGAGGATTTTAGAGCAGCAGAGAGCAATCCATAGTCTGGCATCAGACCAGTACATTGGTATTGGTTCTCCACTGGGTTGAGACAATTGTACAGTGATCGCTCAGCTAGTGGCAGTCCTGAAACCATTCAGGGATGCCACTGAAAATGTAAGCTTGAACACTGCCAATCTGGGACAGGTAATCCCTGGTTTCACCCATCTAGGGAGCAAGAGGTTGTTCAATGTGACCCTCTACATCCTGATGTAGTAACTCTGGTCAGGAGGCTGAAGGATCAGCTTAAAGTTTGCCTACGTGAGCGAATTGATAATTCTCCCTAACTGATGCTAGCTTGCCTGTGTGATCCAAGGATTTAGGGAAAGCTAGCACTCATATCCACTAGCCTAACAACTTGGAGGGAGAAACTGATCCAGAGGGTGTGTGATTGGCAGCAAAAAAAGGTAATGCTGTCCGAGGGAGTAGTTCAGCAGGAGGCTGAGATGTTTGCTACTTCTGGCAGAAGCATTGGCAGTGGCACTATGTCATGATCCTGTGCAGGTCAGGTAGGAGACAATTGCCAGGGTTAACATCAGGATCTTTATTGCTGGATTCAGACATTATAAAATAAACAGTATATCCTATAATTAAAATAATAGGAAAGAGACAGCAAACAGATCTTAATAATTTAATTTATAGGTAAGGATAACTAGGTTATGAAAATAAAGAGTTTAGACAAAAAAGGTCAAAGTGGAAATAGGATAACAGGTAAACCTATAAATGAAGTTATAGGTTGGAGAATTAAGAAGAAACTGTAAGAAAAATTGTAGGCAAGTAAGTTGAAGGTATACCGAAAACAGGAGTTAGGCAATATGCCCCAAATAGAATACAATTAGAAATGGAAGTAAATAACAAGAAAACCTATAGATATAAAAGTATAGGTTACATAGAAGGACACATTAGACAGAATAATAAAGTTGCAGGAAAAGGAGAACTTAAGTTAATAAGCCCCCTTTATGAATAAGATTTGCTTAAACAGGGAAATAACACCATGTAGTTATTTTGAGGCAGAGTCCAGAGTGGTGTTATGTGGCAGGTATAGAGCAGAGAGGCTGCTTGGATTTGAATAGGTAAATATCAGGATGGCTGGATAAAGCTGGATAGTTGTTAAGTTTAGGTTGGTATTTTGTAGGTTAAAAGCAGGTTACCATTTTATTTCTATTTTGCTGTTGGTGGCGGTAAAACAGCTCTCTTTTTTTCTCATTCCCTTATTATTCTTCAATTCTCTTTCCCCCCCTAATACCTGAAAATCTCCTTTAAAGTGGTACTGGTTTCTCCCCTCTGGCTGTGTATGACAGCGGTGTGGCAAAGCCTGCTACCTCCGCCATCGCAGTCAGCTTGTGTTTGAGCTCTGGAGGTCCGCTCCCCATGCCAAGGACTGAAGGAGTCTGCCCTGGGGGTAAAACAGAGATGGACCTGGCACCCAGACCACTTCATTAAGTTGAAGTGGTCTGGGTGCCTATAGTGGTCCTTTTAGTAGCTTCATAAAATTTAAACCTGGATTTATTTTGTGCACTGTTCCCTAATCTGTATTTTGAGGCTTAAACATTGTCACTTCAGTAGCGTGCCAACAGGGGGCGATATGAATAGTTCACCCTGCGTGAAGAGAAGGAGGGGGTACACAGAGTAGCTCCCCATTACATTTTGTTGCATGGACCCAGATAGAAGATTGAATTACTTTGTATGCGACTTTGTAATGTGACTGACTATGTATGACTGTAGGTGAATGTTTGTGACTGTGTGTAATTGTGTAATTATGTTGTGATGGTATATGATTGTGTGTCTGTGCATGGGGGGTGCTAGCTTTCACTTGCCCTCTCCATTTTTAATTCTTCATTTAATTCTTCAGTTATTTTGATAACTTTGTCTGCACCACCAGCACAAAAGAAATTGTCTGGTGCTGCTTTCCGAAAGAAAAGAAGGCTCCAAGAAGAAGACACATCTAAGATGGCTGGATCATTAAATAGGTTCTTTAAACCTGATTCAGTACAAAAAGTTGTAAACGAAATGGAGTGCAAAAGTAATGAAAATCGTAAAACTGTAGACGTTGAACAACACCCTTCTACCTCACCTATGGGCGAACAGTCTTTGGGTATAGAAAGTGATACAAACACAGAGGAAGAGAGTTCACAGAAATCAGCATCATCATCAGAAGATGAAAATGGAAAACGCACGCTGGTAGACTTCTTTGATCCAGTTGACTGGCCTGATACGCTTACTAGCTCACTAAAAGAAACCATTGCTATGAAGGGTCCAGCAAAGCAAAAAGAGCACTTTGCATTTCCTAAAGATGCATCCAAGTTTTTTTCATTAGCTTTTGTAGATAAGTAAAAGATTTTTCAAGTAAAAGTTTAAAAACATGTTTTTTTTAAAAATTTTCACCATATTTTATTATTTTTTTTAAAGTAAAATATATGACATGATACAAATAATGGTATGTAACGAAAGCCCTTCTTGTCCTGAAAAAAATAATAAATAATTTGTATGGGAACCGTAAATGAGAGAGCGGAAAATTACAGCTAAACACAAACATTACAAAAATGTTAAAAGTGCTCTGGTCCTTAACGTACAACATGGCCAAAATAGGCATGTCCTTAAGGGGTTAATGTATTAAACTATTAAAATTTGCACTTTATTTTACAATCATGGCCTTTTGTGCAATTTGTCAGTGTCTTGAACCAAAAGCTACCTCTGCCAGCTCAGTCAGCTAACGCTAGGGCTAGGAGTTTGGATGCTTTGCCCGGGGGATAAAACAAGTGAGTGGTTCACCAATTGCCCACTCACTCCTCTTTACCATTTGTGGTTACATTTCTATTTACTATTTATTTTCTAATCTCACTTTTTCCTTTTTCTTTCTTTTTTACTTTCTTTCCTATGATTCAAATAAAAAAAAACACACACACACATAAACAATAGAACACTAAAAATTTTTAACTCACAAAAGTTAAAAGTTAGTATAACAAACCACATCCATTCCAGATCTATATTCCACCAACACTACCTTAATTACTCAACTACTAAGGCCCCCCCAGCCCCCGTGTATAACCCCCATTAAACCTGCAGCTCCCTTATTTAACACCACATTAGCCTACACTGTGTATATTACATAAACACAGTGTATGTTACATACACAGTGAAAGCTTTGGTATAGAAATCCGTCAGATTTGTATATCAGATTTGTATATCTGATGGACATGCTGCGTGCATGCTGCGTGCACCCGTCAGATTTGTATATCAGATTTATATCTGATGGATGTGCCGCGCACATGCGCAGTGCTCCCGTCAGATTTGTTTATCTGAAAGATGTGCTGCGGGCATGCGCAGTACACCCTTCAGATTTGTATATCAGATATCTATATCTGAAGGATATGCCATGCATATAGATTTGTATGTCAGATTTCTATATCAGATTTATATCTGATGGCTGTGCCGCGCACATGTGCAGTGCACCCATCAGATTTGTATATCTGAAGGATATGCTGCCCGCATGTGCAGTACACCGGTCAGATTTGTATATCAGATTTCTATATCTGAAGGATTTGCCACGAGCATGCACAGTTCACCTGTCAGATTTGTATATCAGATCTGGATGGTATAAATAAGCGAAGCTAATTTTTGAGTATATATATTTTTATGCCCACGAAGTTAGTAATATCAAGAATGTGGAATAAAAAAGAGGAAATTTCACTGTTAGCTATATTAAATCAAGTACATTTCCAATGTAGGATGGAGAAAGGCTATTTTTCGACATTTCAAAGCTTTGGTTCATATGTCAAAATTTGGTAGCCATGGTTAAATTTTGATTTTGAGTGCTTTAACCCCTTATGGACCGCGGACGGTTCAGGACCGTCATCGGCATTTTTGCCTTGCCGACCGCTGACGGTCCTGAACCGTCCTAACGGTCTTAGTTACTTACCTGATCGCCGGCATTCCCCCGGCGGCGATCAGCAGTGCTCCCGTTGTGGGGAGACTGTCTGCAGCCCAGACAGTCTCCCCACACTGGATTAGGACCCCTGGGGCCATGTGATC